TTTTCCGACATCCGCGTCTCCAGGTTAGTGTCCAGGAGATCTTCAGCGACATGCTTCAGGAGCCCGCGGACATGACCACCTACAGTTGGAGGCGTCTTTTGCCGACGGTGGGCCAGCTCCTCCGATTATCTCCTCAGGAGCAGCTGGCGCTAGGAGATTGGGCCAGCAACAACCCGGACGGTAATCAGATGCCCCTCCACTACAGCAGCGCTCGCTATACGACTTCGCTTCGGTTCAAGGCACTCTCACTGGCAGCAGCATGGGAGGTTCGTGGCTTCGAGGACTGGAGCGCTATCACGGACACGGAGCTGGAGCGCATCAAAGGAGCGGTCAGGGGCCAGGTCGACGATGTGATCGTGGGGGGCCGGACCACTATCTACCAGGCTCCTGTGACTACCGAGACCTTGCACCGTTCGTTGGCCTTGACCAGGACCTGGAGGCTCCGCGCTGCCAAGACAAGGGCTACATCGGCCAAGGAGCAAGTGGCGCAAATGCCAGCCACCCTGAATGGGAAGGTCCTGACCGCGTTCTTAAAAAACGGCCAGTCGCTTTGCGCTCGCTTTCAGCTTGGACGCTGCAACCTGGCTGAGCATGATTGCTCGGGATCGCACCGTTGCGTGGTAGCGCTGAGGAGCGGACGAGCCTGTAGGGAACCACGCGGCCGAGGTCTGCTACGACAAGCGAGCAGTCCGCTAAGGAGCCGGGTCCTTCCGTGGGTGCGGGCTCCAAGAGACCGCTGCAAGCCCCAGCGGCGGCCGAAGGATTCGGCCAGGGTTCCCGAGCCGGCTGGCCCGCCACCAAAGAAGTTGTGCAGCTCCCCGGCCCTGCCAATAGCTGACGAGCCCGCTTCAGCCAGCTCAGCGCCGCCCTCTTCGCCGTCGACACGATCGCCTCAGTCTTCTCCGGGGTTCCTCAAAGGCAGCACCCAAGTTGAAGCCGAAAGTGAAGGCGAGGCCGAAGTCGGCTGCAAGGCCCGACCCGGAGGCGAGCGCCGCCTCGTCGGAGAGGGTCCCCGTGGTCCTTAGCCAGCGGAGGAAGCCACAGGGAGTGAAGAGCGCGGCCGCACCGAGAGCTGGCACAATTACTTCGACCACAGCAGGAGGAAGGGACGCTCAGGCCCCTACAGAGATTTGGCGTTCGGCATCTGGGGGCAGGCTCTTCTTGGCTGGCCTCCCGACAGCGGCCACGGCACAGTACTTCTGCAAGGTGGCTTTGCAGGTGACCTGCTTTGACAAGACCCCGGAGCAGAGGGGTGGGGTCCTTTTGCCGGAGCCCTGGGGCGCAAGCTGGACCTTCGCAGCAGGAACCGCGACGAGGAGTTCGCCGAGGTCTTCACACTCACCAAGAACAGCCTTTGGGCAGGTGAGGATGTGCTCTACCACTGCATGGCAGGGCGGCACCCAGCTGCCACATATGGAGGGCTAGTTCGGGCCCTCCTGGCCTTCGAGAGCCTGCCCGTGGCCTACGATCACATCAAGTCCCTTCGCGACATCGAACCAGAGAAGGTCTTGAGGGAACGGTTTGTGGGGGACTTTGTGCACCAAATGCGGCGAAGCATCAAGATCGGGCAGGCAGCCCCAGCACCCACGGCCTATGTGGCAACGGCCCTCTCCAACATCCACATTGCCACGAACGACATCCCATTGTGCAAGCACAACCAGGCACCGTCCAAGGCGCTGCGACATAGAAATGCGTGGTCTACTTCGGATCGAGAAGAAGCCGTGGGTTGGGGCATCAGCTTCTGCAAGGCCTGCCTCAAGTTGTCTCCGGCCTCTTGGCACCCGCGGTGATGGGGGCGCGACCCCCCCCTAGAGGGTAGCGTCAGGGTGGCGCTGCCTCGCTCAATTTTGTGGGCTCCATAGGCAGCCTGCCGACTAAGAGCAGCGGCTAGACCAGGGCTGTGACAATGAATGCATGGACCAGCAAAATTTGCGGGAGCAAGGTAGGTGTGGGCGGGGCGTTACCCGTGGTTCCACCTGTCTGGCAAGGGTGCAGCAGCATGAGTGACGTGCCCTAGGGTCAGGGGAGTTTTCTGTGTGTGCCCACCCTGCCTCTCCCTCCTCCCTCTCTCTCTCTTAGAGTTCGAACTAACACTATTTCATTGCGCGCCAGGTCCGCAGCTGCTCAGAGCAAACGGGGCGTGATCGTAGCCATGGCCATGCCCTCGTCAGTTACCTTAACCCCGCGGGACGGGACAGATATTGCCACTACGTTGCAGGCTTTGGGCCTCAACTTCGGATTGGACGATAAGGTCGTGCAAGCTCTTTTGGCCACCAAGGTGCAGAATCTGGAAGAGCTCCGCTACTTCTTTGCCGACGAAGGGGCAGTGGACCCATGGCTCAAGAAGACCCCCCTCGGCGAGGAGCACAACATACAGGCAGCCCGCCTTCGCAGATGTTGGGCAGCAGTTCGTATGTACTTCAGTCAGTCTGAAGCGGACAGGTCCAAGGTTGCGTTGGCTGACCTTGACTGTATTTTGGGGGAGAGTGAACTCCGTGACCTTAAGATCAACTTCTGGCGGCGGTACCGCCAACGATATCCTCCCGAGGTGCACCCGTCCGATGCTACCGTTTCACGGGTTAGCAGAGAGATGGTCAAACGGATGTTGTGCATCTTCTCCGTCTGGAAAGTGAAGAGCCTACAGCACCAACTGTTGTCGTCAGTTAAGAAGCGGAAACTTGCCCCCAACCTTTACACTGAGGACGACGACCCGGACGAGGCGGGACCTCGTGATGCCGAATCCTATCTGGACAGACTTTTCACGCTTTGCCTCGCCTATGCCATGGCAGGTACCATGGCGGTTTCAGGCGCGCCTGCTGGAACCGAGGAGGCTCACCTAGGTGCAGATTCCAGCCTTTTTGTGGCAGTCCCCTTGGACGTGACTATGATGTATTGGTTCCGTGCCAAGAGGACCGCTGCGCTTGTGTCGTCCTCACGCAGGCTGTCATGGCTGCAGGCCCGCGACCAGGAGGAGCGTACCGAGTGGGTCGCCCGGTTCCGGGACTCCCAGAAGACTCTGGGACAGGTCATCAAGGAGGTCTTCGTGGCGTGCGACCCTCATTGGATCCCTCCTTCTTCGGGGCCGCCGGGTGCCGCAGCTGCTCCTCCCGAAGCCCCGCCGACGCTTCCGAAAGCCGATTCCCTTTTTCAACTTTTGGGCACCATCGCAGGCAAGAAAGTCGCCTCTTGCATGAAAGATGGGAAGCAACTTTGCAAAGAATTTCAGAGGGGCAGATGCAGCAAGAAGGATTGTACTGCAGGGGCCCACCTGTGTGGCGTGGTGATCAGACAGGAGCGTGTGTGCGGTGGTCAGCATACACCAGCCCAGTGCAAGAATAAAGTGAAGCCATGATGGGGCCCCGAGCCCGATGAGGTAGGCCCGGGCTTGGGGGAGGTCTCTTCCTCACCTACCATCGCAGAAAGCACTCAAGGGGCGAGCTCGTCCCCCGCATTTCTGCACTTGCAGCCCGGCCCCAACACACCATTGGAAAAGGCTTTCCTTTGGTGCGGATGGCACGTCCTATCTGCTAATGGCGTCGACGGTCGTAGCCACGATCTTGCTGATCCTGGTTTGAGGGCAGAGCTTGGGGAGCTCTCGTCGAAAGCCGGTTTCCTCCTGGCTTCGATGCCTGGCGAGCTTGGGCCTCGGGCAGGGGAGGTGCCCGAAAGCTTCGACGACGCGCGCGGGACGCCGTCACGGGAGGTACCCGGCCGAGCCGCCCGTTCAAATCTACAAGGTCGCCGCTGATAAGTCGGTCGGCGCAGGAGGCTGCGGGGACTGGATTTTGCAACAAATGGACTTGATCAGTGGCCGAGGCGGCGGTTGCGCGTGCGAGGCGCCTTCCAACTCTCCATGGTGGGCTTCGATGGCCGAGGGACGGCCGTTCGATGCAGCGGGTTGGCATGACTTGGCATACTCCACCTGCGTCTTTGCCGGGGCCAGGTGCAAGTCTCAGACCATACGGCACAACATCGACGAGCTCGCGCAAGGTCCTCCCCTGGCATGCCAGCATGTACATGACGCTTCGGAATGGGAGCCTTACGCGCTGGGTGACTCCATCGTCTACCCCAGCCACGAGGAGTCCGAGTGCACTGCCCCACTCGCGTTCTTCCTTGCGGTCTCGGTCTCTTAGTGGGCTGCACGGCAGGGTCTTGCCGTTGCCAAGATTCATCGTCTCCCCCCATTCGAGGCGACCGGAAGAAGAGAGCATTGGTTGCACATCGACCCCGATGCCCTTAGATCGAGAGCTATGGCACCCCTTGCAATATCGCTGGGACTTCGGCCTGCTCAAATACCGGGCGCAGCCGAGCTCCCGGTTCGAGCTTTGGCCGAGGACACAGTTGTGGACAAAGATGTTTTGCCCAGCGGCTGCATCTACGTCGGACAAGGCAACTACCAGCACAGGCTCCCCACTTCGCAGTGGCGCAGCCCTTGGGTGGCGGGCCTTAATTGCGATCCAGCCGAAAGGTTGACCCGATATGCAGAGTTCATCCTGACCGAGCTATGGAACGAGCTGGACCAGCTTTGGGGCATGACACTTCTATGCGATTGCCCTCTCGACGTGCCTTGCGAAGCCGATGTGTTGGCAGGCCTCCTTTTCGATTGCCGTCGCGGGGAGCCTGGTGATCACCACTGCAAGGCATCCGCACTTTGGTGGCCGGAGCGTATCGCACCGAGAACGGCACTCCTGCGCGGATCCCGAATTGGACAGGCGGTACCTGTCTTGTTCAGACAGGAGGCGATTATCCTCCGCTTTCGCAAGCTGTTCCCAGCCGAATGGTTCCGAGGATTCCGCTTTCCTATGATCGAGGACATCATTAACCAAGCCCCTTTCGACTCTTTTGGCCGCTGGCTAGTCGCGCGGGGAGACGAGTGGGAGGGACCCCTCGTTCCCATTGCGGCCGAGAGGCAGCAGCGCTTTCGGCAGCGCACGGCCGATGGACAACAGATTGGTGCCTCCAGCCATCGGGCGGCAATTCCTCCGTTGCTCCCCTTTGGCCTCACAGCGGATGAGCATTTCGAGCAGTCCTTGCAGTTGGGCACGCGGCCACTGCCTACGGAATTGCACCCCATCTTGGACACCGACCTCATCTTCGCGGCGGACATGCACGCAAAGCACAGGGGGTCCCTGCGTGCCATTCGCCAGCAAACCGTCGGTGCACTCAAAGAGCTCAAACGGCGATGGGAGTCGGTCGGAGAACGATTGCGAACACTGCAGCCGAAGGCGTTGCGCGAGGCCACGCGTTATCGCGACCTCGGCCTGACCGCCTTGCTCATAATTTTGATCAGCTGGGGTGATGTTACCTACCCGTTCGGGCTTGTCCAAGGACTTCCAGCAGTTGGCTTTGCCCCTTCATACGGTGTCTTCCCCACCCAGCAGGCTCATGTCATCTCCTTTGAGGACGTGCTCGGTGACTGGCAGGCGCACAATGCAGTCACCATCCGACGGCTCAGGCTGGACGAGGTGCTACTGGAACAGTCGCGGGCCGACGCGGACCAAGGGTTTTGCACTCCGCCCCTGTCTCTCTCAAGTCTGCAGCGGGAGCTCCGGGGGAACCCGTTCCGGGTGATCCCGCAGTGCGTGATTACGCAGGGCTCGGGCAAGCACCGCATCATCGACAATGCGGCCGAAGGAGGTCAGTCGGCCGCTTCGTCCGATGCCAGCAAGCTGGTGCTTTGTTCCCCCCTGCGCCCCGCCCAGCACCTCAGAGCAACTGTGTCCCTCATGTCCGAGGAGGAACTGGAGCGTGCCAGGGATGAGGACGCCTGGGAGACGGGCGGCGAGGATTGGCCGAATGCCTATCGCCATTCGCCAATGTCTTCTACGGAGGCTCGTGCCTGTGTGGTGTGCTTCTGGCACCACGAGTGGCAGCAACCTGCCTTCCAGCTGTACGCGGGACTGTTGTTCGGGCTTCCGTTGGCCGTAACATCGTTCAATCGCTATTCGAGACTCGTGGAAGCGCTCGGCAGACGGCTCGTATCGGTTCTTGTTTCCCTCTATTTTGACGACGCCAGTTTGGGAGACTGGGCTTCTTCTCGTGGTTCGGGCCAGTGGGCCTTCGAGCAGCTGAATGGTATGCTGGGCACACCGTTCGCCGAGTCGAAACGTCAGCCCATGTCCAGCCGGGGGGACTTTCTTGGCCTCTCTCACGACATGTCCAAGGCCCTTTCCGATGGAGTCATCCGGTTTTGACAGGATCGTCCAGAAGGTCGAGGACATGCTCTCTGAGGCCGAATCCAGTTCGTGCCTCCACCCAGGTCAGGCCTCGAAGCTTTATGGTATCCTGAACTTCTTTGAACAAGGAGTCTATGGCAAGGTCGGAGCTGGTAGTCTCTGGGCCATTAAGGAGCGACAATATGAGACCCTCACGCAGGTCACCCCGGACTTGCTGGACAACTTCAGGTACTTGCGAGCTGTCATTCGCGCGAGGCCAAAGCGTCAGTTGCCGGTCTTTTCCCTACCGTGCGGACGCTTTGTGTGCGCCTCGGACGCAGCTGAGGAGCCGGCCACCGGAGGTACCGGTGGCTTCCTCATCGTCTGGTTCGATGGCTCTTGCCAAACGCGACAAGGCTTCGTAGCTGACGTCCAGCCATGGTGGTATTCGGTATGGCAACCTGCAGAAGTCCATATCGCGCAACTGGAAATCTCCACGGTGGCTTATGCACTGCTCGGCTGCCCAGACCGCTTCAGGAATCGCAAAGGCATATGGTTTTTAGACAACATTACGTCTTTGATGGCCTTAGTGAAAGGCCGATCCTCTTCCAAAGACCTCGAAGCCTTTGCGCACATGGTGCACATTCTCTTGCTTGGCCTCAACACGCAGATGTGGTTCCAGTACGTCCCTTCCAAGTCCAACTGGGCGGACGCAATCTCTAGACTTGGGTGGGACGACCCCTGGCATGTCAGCCAGTCTTTTTCGACTTCTTTGCTCCGCCTCCCACGAGTTGTCTGGGGGTTGCCGCCGTCCGCTTTGCT